CTGTCCCAAAATCTGTACTTGCGCCCTTGTGCCCCTCAATGCGCGTTCTCGCTAAGGGGTGCAACACCGTAGGGTGTCCCAATCCTCTAATAGTGTTCTCCAGGGGTGATCAAAAGGGCACTTAATGCACCCTTTTCGTAAGTGCGCATCAGACCTCACTTTGCTGTGGGATATTACCCAGAATCCTTGTAGGGGAGAACGGTTGCTATGGTGCTGTTCGGGAGAGGGAACTCCGAAGATAAAGGAAGGCGGTGTGGTGAAGAGCTTTTCAAAAATATTTGCGTTATTTGGTCACGAAATGTAGTTTTAAGAGTTTTTCAGTCGAGAATATAGTTGTTTAAAGCTGCAATCTGTGGTTTATTTATTTTAAAAAATTGATCTGACGTTTTCGGAGTTCCAGGTGATCACAGGGCGGCGGGTGCTCAGCGCTCATGTACGCGGGTACAGCCTTGCCCCGGCTAGTCATTCACGTTTCCCGCGGGCTCTGTGTCTAGTGGTTAAAAACATGAGCTATAAATCGGCTTGTGTATATCAGACGGGGGATCTTTGGTCTCATTAATCTTTGATTTGTTCCCTGGCAAATCGTTTTGGCTGCAGGGCAAAAGTGAAGTTTCATAACTTTATATATTTAGGCTATTTAGCCTAACTGTAATGTTGAAACGTATGTTTGACTGAATCTTTTAACTTGCCTTATTTCTTGACTTATAGCTCCTTATACTTTTTAAGCTATAGTAATGTGTGCCTCACAGTATTTTCTACAAAACTATATAAGTCATGTTTTAATCATTTGAAGATATGTTTGTAAATTAATTTTGAATATCCCTTTAAATTTTGCCTCAGCCAACATATGGTTACAGCAGTCACACAGATAGTGTCTTTAGCTGTATGGCATTGAGGGAATACTATGAAATGCGAAACACACAAAAGGTTTACAGGTAATACGGCTAAAACGAGCACAGGTTGAGATCCCGTGGGAGGACGGGATAATGCATTACTGACTACTCCAAGGTCAACCTTGCAAGCATTCATGTTTCTAGATGGATGCTGATATAGAAATATGAGATATGTTCATGAGGAAATCACATATGAGAGTGGCTTTAAAAAGCACAAATTAAAACTCTGTTCTTTTAAATCATTTACATATGAATAAATACATTTTTACAGTGGAAAGCGGTTGTCAAACAGAAATGTGCACGAATTCCTGTTCACGGTGAAATCTACCTTTCGATAACGCACTAAAGGTTAATCACTTTTCTCCATTTTCAGGAGCAGATAAATGTATCCTGTAGGTTGGTGTTCGTATGAACCATGCATTATTCCTTGGCTTACAACAACCCGGCAGAAATGATTGTGTTATCTGTGTCTCACTGATATTGAATGCACATCATCTTGCAGAAAGATTTGTGCAGAACACCTGCCTCTTGGTTCCCACCTGCAACATTATTATTTTGTGAAGTAAAGGTTGTGCAAAGTATCATTATGAGCATAATTGTCCTTTTTTTAAATTAAAATATTTTCATTTCACAAACTCATCTGAGATAAGCTCAGTTAGAAATGCTATTTTAGTATCATTGAGATACCATTATACTTTTCTTTATTTTTTATTTTTTTAATTTGTATAACTATAATATCCCTGTGGGTTACGGTTGCATGAGAATATGCACTTGATTTGTTGGTAAACCGTGAAGGATCAGCCCTTCTGGAGCAGATTGCACATGCGAGTGTCGTTGTCTGATGTCTACATACAAATCTCTGCCGAGGATCAACACCTGCATCTCTTCAGCCTTCAGATGACAAACTGCTGCTGCTTCACTGCATCCACCCCCGTTCAGTGCTAGATGGACCTCAAAGACACCTACACCCGTACATTTCAGTAAAAGCAGTCAGTCTATCCACATAATTGCTAAAACATTTTAGTTGCCTGCATGGATTCTCCCCTAGGCTTTCTTTTCCAGGTATCTAACATCAAACGGACAGTTTCCTTTGACTTGCACACCAGGGGACTAAAGATATCATGTTCTGTGAGCTGTATTACTTTTCATGTTTAAGTATTATGACATGCCTTTCAGTTAACATTTTAGTGGTGGATAATAATACCAAAATCATAGACACTTTTATTTATGTTTTTTTTTTTTTTTTTACCAATCGCAGTGATACACATCACCAAATAGTAATCATGCACGTCACCAACGTTGAAGAAAAAAAAGTTATGCATTAAAATATCAGTTCATTAAAAAAGCAACAAATTGCATGAACATAAAACTAATTCGGCAAATGTAAAGGCCCTTTCTCACCAAAAGGGAAATGACACAAACAAACCTTTTAGCTGTGCTTCATTCTGGATGGTAGAAGAATAGAAAACAGGAGAAGAATCTTAAACAATCTTACAGCAGCAATATATAAATATATATATATATATATATATATATATATAAAGACGAAAGAAACACAAATGTGATGTTTACCTTAAGTAATTTTAATTATTAGTATGGTTAAAGATTAAACATATAATATAATTGCATATAACTGTATATATAAAAAAAAAAAACGTGCAATGGGAAAAGTGCTGTGAACATTTTTTTTTTTACCAAATCTTAAAATAGAAAATGTCCTGAGAGTGTTGAATAATGCACTGCAGTTTCAGCTTAAAATAGATCATTGAATTTGCTTTCCCCCCAAATGGACTTATGACAATAGAAGACAACAATAGATGCACTTTTCTTATTAAAATGTTTTACCTCTAAAGAAATGAAAAGTAGATTTGGTCCCAAATATATGTATAACATTTAAATAAATCAATTTATTTCCAGAACACATTTAAAAACAACACGAGTTGACCAAAGTGCTTTACAGACTCAGCAGCATGTCGACAAAACTACACAAACACCAAACAGCACAACAAGACACTCGACACCACATGTAGAGCAGTTAAAGCAGCGGAGAATAAATAAGTCTTCAACAGGCACTCGATGTAATCGCAGGATTTGATAAAGGGAGACTATTCCAGAGCTTGGTGCCGCCACCGCAAAGGATCCATCCCCCTTTTAGGTTTCCTTAGTTATTTTAATTAGTAGTTAATACCATACACTACCTGTCAATCAATCATGATTGATTGACAGGCGGGTGTGGCTATCCTTTGATCTTGTCCCGCCCCTTCCGGGTCCCCCTTTGTTTTCCTTAGTTATTTTAATTATTTAAAATAATCATTTGATACAATGCACTACCTGTGTACATGTTTTACATTGCACTTGTAAATATTTATAAAATCCCTCTATGTTTGTAGATGTAAATTACAATTCCCTTATACTATAAAACCCATACCAGCAAACCTGTCCTAACCTTCCCCAAACCCAGCTCAATAATAGCACAAGTGTTTTGCAATACAATGAACACAATAATTGAAGTAGGGACACCTAATATAAACCGATATGCTTAAACTGACGTACACATGAAATGAAGAAAAAGCTGTTTGGGTTTTGGTGTAAACCGGCTCAGGGTTGTCACATGACCAAACATCCCAGCAACAAGGTACTTTTGCCTTTGTGTGATGCTTAGTCCTCACCAATAGGTGTCAGTATAAAGTCCAGGACTGCTGACCACATTTGCTGCCTGTCAACTCGTATAGGTCAAAATATTACGTTTATTTTCATGTATTAAAATAGCAAATCATAAAATAGTTTTAAGTCAAATCAGTTTCATGACCATTCATTTATTCGGTAAGTATACCCCGTTAGTTTACAAGCATCAGTTGATATGCGATATTGCAACCATATTGTAAGAGAATGGCATTCTGACATTGTTTGTCCTTTCCAGTATACTTTACAGAATGTGCACTTTGTGAAATGAGAGCCATTATTCAATGGCTTTTAAATAAAAAAACGGTTTCATAACACAATCGAAACTCAAACAAAATCATGACCTATATATAGTGCAAAGCCAGTGCGGTATATGCCAGTATTGTTAGTCACCCTTAAAGATATCTAAGCACCAATTACCCACAAACCAGCATTTACTTATCTTGCATTTGTTCCAGCATTTCAACGTCAATTAAACAACAACAATTTGGGTTATATTGGAAGAGTGTTCGAGGATGCCGAAGCGCAATTTAAGGTTGTATGGATGATTGACTAAAGCTTTTAATCAGACCAAATTAGAGGTTTTATCCTCAGGAAATGTTTCATAATTGCTTTCATTCAAGTGACAGAACGTATAAAGCCAATCAGCCCATATCCTCACTCCAGACATGCCTTTAAATTTACCAATATCATTAGTGAAAAATACTAGTACAAAGTAACAGTGTAATAGTCCAGCATTTTTCACCAGTTGTATTGCAAACCTTCAACACTGGCGTTAGCAATAACGCATTCAAGTAAACAGCACCGTTCTACTTTTTAAAATTTCCAATTTCTTGGATCTGAAAAATACTCTCTCCTATGCGAGTTAAAGGAGTAGTTCACTTTTACTCACCCCCATGTCAGCCAAGATGTCCATGTCTTTCTTTCTTCAGTCGAAAAGAAATTAAGGTTTTTGATGAAAACATTCAATGGGAACCAAACGGTTCAAGGTCCAAAAGTCAGTTTCAGTGCAAACTGTTCAAAGGGCTTTAAACGATTCCAGACGATGAATAAGGGTCTTATCAATCGAAACGATCACTCATTTAATAAATAAATGACAAAGTTTACGTTTTATAAGCTCAAATGCTCGCCTTGCTCTGTTCTGTGATGCGCGTTCGTGACTCTCCTGTTCGAACTCGTTCATCAAAATGAACAAATCTTTTTTTTTGTGTCATTTGGTTGATTCAACGAATGAAATTAACAAGTGGACTCTGGAAAAGATTCGTTCATTTTGATGAACGAGTTCGAACAGGAGAGTCACGAACGCGCAAATGAGCGAGCGTTTCGATTGATAAGACCCCTTATTCATCGTCTGGAGTCGTTTAAAGCCCTTTGAACAGTTTGCACAGAAACTCTCGTTGGACCTTGAACCGTTTGGACCCCATCGAAGTCCATTACATGGAGAAAAATCCTGGAATGTTTTCATCTAAAACCTTCATTTCTTTTCGACTGAAGAAAGAAACAGCACAAGCATCCCAACCGGTTTGACATAACAAGCTTGGCTCAATCAATGCCATAAGTTAGAGGCAGGGCGATCTGTAAGTCTGACCAATGGAAGGGGATTGGTAGTGCTTGAGAAAACAGTTTGAAAACAATTATTTGTGCAATGTTTGCAAATCCATTTAGTCAGTCTAGTTCACTTTCAGTACTTATTCTTGTGTATCAAATTTCCAACCCTTTGAATGAACCGGCCGAATCTGTTGTCTTGCCCCTGTGATGTATAAGTGCTGTGGTCATTCGTTGGTTGTGTTCTTAAAAAGACCGTATTCCTTGTTTTGTCACTTGCTTGGCTCTGTGGAGACACATAGGCAGGCTGGCCCGCTGCGGGACGCCTGGGTTCGAATGAGCAAAGCGGCTCAAATCTGCTATACAGTCTGTTTGCTGATACTTGTTGCTTTGGCAGATCTGATCTTGTTGGTGTCGAGTCCGTCTTCTCTTTCTGAGGGATAACCGAGGTTTGTTCCTGCGTGTTGGAAGTCTCTACACTTGCAGCTGTGTGAGGCGGATGAAGCTCTTCAGTGCTAAAGCGAGGCGCGGATGTCTCTCCCGCCAGGCATTCATCCCCAGAGATCTTCCCATTCGCTCGCCTCAGTCGGATGCTCTCCACAGACTTGGAGGAATTGGCAGTGCTTCCATGGTTTTTCTTGTCTCCCACGGTGTCATCATAATCCGAGACAATTGTGTCCGTGCTGCCTCCCGTTTTAAGACTCTTTCCTTTCGTTGAGCCGTCCCCCTTTTGTGGGATGTGTAGAAGGGATTTTATTTTCTTGGTGCTCTTTTTCAAGAAGCGTTGTGACGATACACTGTTTGGTTTCGAAGGCGGACTGTCCTCTTGGTCCAGAAGCGACGCGGACACAGTCCTCAAAGGAGGATCTTGCCATGAGGTAGTTGTGCTCTCATCTGCCTTTTTGAAATCATAATGAGAGACGGACCTTTGGTCCTCGCTGAAATTTGGCGTGTACGCTTGATTTCTGGGATTCTCCTGTACAGACGCATTGCAGTTTCTTTGTTTTCTAGGCAAAGATGCATACATGTAACTGGAAGGCCCGTTTGCGTCACTGTTACATGTACTGCCCCTGGGAGCGGCCAAACTGTGCCTCTTGAGTCTGTCCTCTTGATCATTGTTTGGAAATCTACTTTTGGCTCGGTTTAAACTTGCATATATTGAATCCCTTCCGGAGCTATAGGTTGCGTTACTCCCTGAGTTTTCTAAAATCTGTAAACTGCGCCTCTTCATGAAGTCATCATGCTGCGCTGTCTGATTCCAGTGTGTTGAAGAATAAATCTGAGCATTGGGTTGAATTCGTGCCAGATCGTGGTTGGAGGACGACGAATTATTGGAGTAGCTGTTCATCTCTGGTTGCTCCTGTATGGTGGGCGTGAAAACAAACGATGACCTGATGCGAGAGGTTTGCGGAGGAGCCAATTTATTATCCTCGTATTGGTCCAGATAATCGTGGTTCTCTCCATAAGGTGCATCATTGTGGTTGTTGAGGTAAGACTCTAACCTCCACGTCCGAAGGAAAGACTTGGAAGTGCTTGCTAAACTGGGCATGTTTTGCCGTATGTTGAGAATTTGTTTGTCGTGGCCATGGTACGACTGCCGCATGTTTGAGCCTCTGAACATCGGGTTGGTGACGTAACTTTCATAGTGGTTGTCCACGTTGTTGGAGTAACCACTGTAACGGCTGTTCTCTGCCGCCACGTTCCAGTTACTAGAGCCAAACTTGGACAGTTTCGACAGATACACAGGCTCCTGACGTTCACCCGCGTAGCTGTGTCTTTTGTAAAACTCTGAGGTGTCTTGTAGGAGTCGAGCGTGAGGTGTAACAACCGGCCTTTCTTCCACCTCTCTCAATGGCGAAATCCCTGATCTCCGTTCACAGGCTTGCCGGTAAACAGCATCAAGTGTGTGCCTTAAATGATCTTTCCTTTCAAAGGGCTTGGTGGAATGCATCGAGTAGCCGTCCATTTTGCCATTGGGCTTCATCTCACACTGGTTCACGCCGAAAGTCTGAAATGGATCTGGGATTGTCGATCGGGCGTATAACGTCCGAAATTCCTCATCATAAGTCTCCACTAAATGGCCTGTTATAACCTGAATCATGCTGAGGTTGATCTTCTCATAGGACCACATGAAGCTGCCAAACGAGAAATGAAGATAAATATAGCAATTCAATTCAGCCTTGACAACATATGCAAATACTTTGGAATGCAGTTTATCTTGGGTAGGGTGTACATAATTGCTTAATATATGCTCTTTGAAAGCCAGACATTTGATTGACAGCATGTTTGTTGAGATGTGCTTTAAAAAGTTCAATGCAAAATGCAGTAAGTCCTTTGCATTTGGTCACTTGAGGCCAATTTAAAAATGGTTTAGGATTATATTATCATTTCAATACATGTGCAATTTATTTTAAAGAAACATGCACAATTTCAGAAAACAAAAAATTGGTTCCCTTTCGAAGTGGAACTATAGAGCTATTGAAACGCTCTTATTGGACGAACGTAATGACGCCACAGAGTCAGAAAATAGAAGCCAGAAATGTGTGTCGGCAGCTGCTTTAACTTCAGACATGTGTCTGCCTTCAATCCTGTGTGCGTGTATGATATAAGTACTCAAGCCTCTCAACATGTCAGGGTTAACACCATGCCCCCGCTTTATTTCGGCAGATGACTCTGTTAAGGCAAAAATTCAATAAACAGACATCACTTCGTAAGAGACACTCTGAGTCAAATTAATAAAGGAAAAGGTTTATTATTCTTGCAAGAACAATAAGGCTCAGTCACCAACACAGATTACTGCGAAGTGGAGTGACGCCCAGAACACAGGCCGGGGTGAAGACTAAATAGCCCTCCCCAAGGTTATTTACTGCAAGCCGAGCCTTCTCTGTAAATTTCCACAAAGTTATAGGATTCATGATGCCAGGTTAGATTTACTAACCCCCTCAACCCCTCCCAGTCTAAGATGACCCCTGACCCGGCCGGTCCTCTGGTGCCTAGCTCCACTCTTGATAAGGGAGAACAATTAATACATGTGAGATTAAAATTTCCACAACAACTCACACCAAATGTGCCCCAGATCTCGCCCTTCGTGCAAACGCTCAGGGGTGCGTTTCCCGTACAACGACGTAGTTCGCTGATTCCTTACCATAGTACGATGCATCATTGGAAAAAGAACTAGCTAGTCACGACCAACCCGATCTCACAGGAATTCGTACGAATTTTACGAGGTGGCTAATTCGTAACAATTCGTACGAATTAGTACGATTTTGCTAAATCGTACATATTTTACGAATTAGCCAATTCGTATGAATTCGTACGAATGACCTACCCCTGACCCCGCCCCTAAACATAACCGTCACGTGGGTTTAGACAAATCGTACAAATTCGTACGAGTGAGGTCGTATGAATTAGTACGAATTAGCCACTTTTGATTGGTCGTGAGATAGGGTAGTCACGACTGTTTCCCGAAACCCACTGTCGCAAACTATCGTTCAACCACGTTGGTTTCGCACGTGGTGGAGTAATAACTACTTTTAATGAAACTGTTTGAGATCCAATTAACGCTAGATTTGTTTTATATAAATTACAGACGTGTCATCTGAGGACTATTTCTAATCGTTCTCAGTTGTTTTGCTTTATTACCAGACTCAATATTTGGCTCGTTCTTGCATAGTAGGGCACGTTCGCACTTGCGCACTCTTCAAACACGTTACTTCAAACCTTTTGACATACTAAAAGACGTAAATTCCATTTGTATGTATTGTAAATAAAAGGCACCGGTTGTATTGAATGTCAGCTTGCTTATTTTGCTCAACCCCAGGAACTCGAGTCCTTCAGGGTTGACCCAAGTCTAGTCTGAGCTCATGCACAGCCTTGTGGGCTCTATTACCTTGGGTGTTTTCATTTCTAATTTCCGATAGCGTCAATGCCATGACCAAAGACTGTAAAAAAATGTATGTGACGTCCCCCGTAGGTTTCTGAAGAGCATTTTTGTAAGCCCAAGGAGGGCGGAGCCGGTCGTCGCCATCTTGTTAGCGTGTCACTCACGGATAAACGAAAATGGGCAAAAAGGCGGGATTATTTGAGGTGACGTGAGGCTAACAGAAAGCAGAAAAAATGGCTAGTAGTGACATCAGCAAAAAAAAACACCTGTCACTCAAGTGGCCATGCCCCTAATTATGCAGAACTTTAAGGCTTAATATAATTTAAACGGATGAGTTATAAACACAATCCACCCCCCTCACAGTTGTAATGAAGGGCAAAATTAGCAATATAGACCAAAACCTATTTTTGTAACAGGCTGTAAACATATATTTTTCTATTGTAATATTGGGCATTTTAACATGGGGTCTATGGGATCGACTCTCTTTTGGAGCCTGCCTCTAATGGCCAGTCGATGAATTGCAGTTGAAGTCACTCCCGTGTCGGATTCAAGAGAGAGACTGGAAGGTTGCAGCTTGGCCATACCTCGGTTACACCTGTGCGTCTTCTTCAGACAACTAGAAACTGTCAATGCTCATTTCTGGCGTCTATTTATGTACTCCGCGACACACTTTCTCTACGTCACGACATCCATACGTTCGGCCAATTAGAATGGCGTGTGTTGACGCGCTTCACGCGGAGAGTTTTCCATAGCGCCAACGCCATGACGGAGCGCCTCGTTCCCTTCTCGGGGAACCGGGTTATATACATTTTTTAGGTGAAACATTATATTTACAAAATAGATAAATTGTTCACAATGAATACAAACGTATATGATTGTAATTGATGTGATGAACTACAACTGTGGTTATTCTTCTATCTGAATGAAAAGAAAAGTTAGTTCTGAAGAAAGTACAACATCGATATGCAGCTTGGTTTGATTTTCTTTTTTAATCTAATCTAATGACACGATCAGTCTTTTTTGGTTCAGCTACATAAATAAATAAATAATGCAACCTCACCTGTATGATCCATAAAACACCTTTTGGCAGTCAATAAGAAGAAATTTCTGCTCCATTGCTCCGTGGAACTTCACCCCAGATCTGCAGAGGTATTCTTGGCCTTTCACGGTACGTATCCTCATAGTCTGCATTCAAGAAAAACATGTTAAGATCACTTCTAGCGAGAAAACAAGCAAATGTAAATGTGAAATGGCATCTTAACTCTTTTGTTTATCTCAAATTCCTACCATTAAAGGAGTAGTTCACTTTAAAAAAAAAAAAAAACGTTTGTTGATAATGTACTCGCCCCCATGTCATCCAAGATGTCCATGTCTTTCTTTCTTCAGTCGAAAAGAAATGAAGGTTTTTGATGAAAACATTCCAGGATTTTCTCCATATAATGGACTTCAATGAGAACCAAACGGTTCAAGGTCCAAAAGACAGTTTCAGTGCAAACTGTTCAAAGGGCTTTAAACGATTCCAGACGAACGAATCTTTTTCAGAGTCAATTCATTTGTTTCGTTGATTGAATGAACCAAACGCCTTGGAAAAAAGATTCATTCATTTTGATGAACGAGTTTGAACAGGAGAGTCACGAACGCGCATCACAGAACAGAGCAAGGCGAGCATTTGAGATTATAAAACTTAAACTTTGTTATTTATTTATTAAATGAGCGATCGTTTCGCTTGATAAGACCCTTATTCATCGTCTGGAATCATTGAACAGTTTGCACTGAAACTGCCTTTTGGACCTTGAACCGTTTGGTTCCCATTGAAGTCCATTATATGGAGAAAATCCTGGAATGTTTTCATCAAAAACCTTAATTTCTTTTCGACTGAAGAAAGAAAGACATGGACATCTTGGATGACATGGGGGCGAGTAAATTATCAGCAAAAGTGAACTACTCCTTTAATGTGCATGATTTATTGATGAACATTGTATAAAAAAATACATATCACATTTTGTTTATAAACAGTTTCGAAGACAAAAGTCAAGTAAAATTTTATTACAATTTTATTTATCAGTGCCACAGCCTGTATGTTCAAATGTAATTAAGAGCCAAACCTGAACATGACAAGAGGTTCGACTACTCAGACTACCGACTCTGAAATAATCCTTCTTGTTGACATCAGAAATGTTTATTTGAGAAGAGAGAAGATAAAGTTTTCATCCGGTCAGTTCCCAATGGATAAAGCTAAAGTCCCCTCCAACATTTGTCCCCATTGAATATCCTGTTTTGCTCATGTTGAGTTTAGTGTTTCAAGTTGATTTTAAAGGGATACTGATTTTGGGGAAATAGGCTAATTTTGCAAGTTAAACAAAGTCAATGGGACCAGAAAGTGTCTGGTTACTGATATTCTTATAGATATCTTAGAAAATCGGCTGAATGGATTGGAAAATGGTCAAACCCAACCGTATTCCTTTAAGATACATTATACAGAGACATAGTTCAGCAAAACCTAACCGAAAGGCAAACAAACCTCATTACTGCTTCGCAAACAAAGATAGTGACAGCATGTCTGTCTGTTGAAGCCAAGGGTTATTTCTTATCACTAAAGCGACAAGGCTGTTGAAGTTTATATCCCTTCTGTTTGACTATACATCTGCACACCCAAACAACACTGACGACACTGGGCATGTCGTGTGCAACTGTACAATTCAAGTTTCTTGGGTCTACTGTGAAAAATTGCCTAGATACTAGATAATACTAGATAATAGAGATACTTAAAACGTTCAAAGTAAATCAAGCATAGAAATCCGGATCTGCTTCAGTCACCTTTGAATACCGATGAGTTATTCATAGAATAAATGGCAGTAGCAGAAAAATGCTCTGATGATGGCACTTAGTGAGGTGTGGTGAGAAAAATCATAATCACCACTTGTTTTTCATATAATAATAGTTAATACCCTCTGGGAAGAAGTGGGAGTTTCCAGCTCAGAGCTTCTTTACATGGCTTCCCATCACTTCACAACAACGTGCATGAATGAATCAGAAACGATTCGCTTACAAAGAGCAAAAACAGCATTCATTTGAAAATATTTGCTTATTTCAATAATGTATATGTTGCTCAAATATTTCCTTTAGAGCATTGAACAAAGAAATAAAAGAGAGAGGAGAGATCTGTAAATAAGAAACAAGAGTAACCGCATGACAGGTTTGCAGATTATTGTTGACGTTTTGTTTTTCTGGTTATGTGTTATGCCAGTCAAGTTTTAAAACTGAATTCAGCCTCAGCTATCAACCAGAAGACAGATTAATGCAGATAAATTAAATCTGTTCACACACTGGAATCAAATGTATATATATGATAACAAAAATCTAATTTGTTGCCTTTGACACCTGCATTTTCAGTTTTAGAAAATGGTTTATTAAAAAAAATAACAAACCACTAAAATTAGCCGTAGTTTTTTGGAAATATTATTGCTATTCTTCATTAGTGCGCAAAACTTGAAATAAATAAGTCAATTAAAGGTGCGTTGCGCAAGTCTATGAGTTTTTGCAGAACTACGCCCCCTCTGGTGACAAGCGAAACTGCAACCAAAGGTGTGCACGCTCACGGACCACACACACACACACGCGCGCGCATGAGCTGTTCATAACCAAAGGAGCATCAGCCGCACACATCTTTTTCAGAGGTAATAAAGTTATAAATCTGCAAGTCGTTTTAAATATATGAAAGGAAAGGCATTTGAGTAAATTACACACTTATGTGTGTGTGAGGGGGAAACTTCGGATTTTGTTTCCATCTATCTCCATGTTGAACTGTTTTATGTGCTTACAGTATCCAATTATGATTGTGTTATTACTTTGTATAGGACCCGTTTGAGCACTAGAGCCGACCGGAGATCTCTCCGTTTGTTGAAAGCTTCCCGATGTCGACTCTCGTCTTATTCTGATTTTTTTTGTCGGACGTGGAGTTTGTGTTGGGGTTTGGAATGAACTACAAGCCAGTCTCTTTGAATCCATCTTCTACTTTTGTGGAAAAGTTGTCTCGAGTTGTCTTCGCTGATACGGAGAATGGCGGCGAATACACAAACCTGCCAGACATAGCCAGGTGAGCGTAAACACACATGACGTCACGCTAGTCTCAAATCCGTCCCGAATCCCTCTTATTTATTTCACTGTACAGGATTATAGAGGCGATCTCAGTGATCAGAGAAGGGCTCATTCAGCCCATCAGGCAAGTGTTTAAGCATGTATGGGTTAGAAAACGGCTATTTTTAACATGAAATGTTGCGCAATGCACCTTTAAAACAATCAATGCCAACTTGTTTCCACTATTCAAATTCCTTCTCACTATCATATAAAAAAAATGCTAGAAATGCACTGCAAAAAAATACAATGTATTAAAAGTGCCTGTATAATAGTGCATATTACAGCCTGTATATTTTACAACATGTAACCAAATATTCCATAAATGATATAATGTTAATATGCCAGACTACTTGAACAACCAAAATCAGTATTTGTTCATGTGCTCTCGTCTCGCAAATAAGGATTAAATTGGGTCTGAAACAGCATTTTGACAGTTAGTTTGTCAATTCATTGCATGCTCCAGTTTGTCTCTTTCAGCGAGTGTACTCAATCGAGATAACTCTTCATGCACAGGCTCATACATTGAGGAACATGCTTCAGTCAGTCAGTGGTTAACCTTGGTAAAGGTGGCATATTTGTTCTTGTGAGCAGAACGAGACACTGCATCCCTCTCTCTCTCACACACACACACACACACACACACACACACACACACTGCCTGCTCTCTGCTTCAGTGAAATCACACAATGAAACGCATCCAGATGCACCACACCTTCTGATGTATATCCACTGATATGCAGTAGCAATGTTACTAGCTTTATTAATAGTTGTATGCGGTTGCAAAGAATCACATCACTGGATCAAAGTATAAGGGTGTTAGTGTTTTTTAATATTTATTCATCTGTATATTTTATGCATTTTATTATTTATTTATTTTGTGTACGTAGCCCTGCACACGACATATATTGAAATATATATATGAAGAGTTCAGATGCAAAAGCCTCTAAGTGCCATTTGAAATTTTCTTCAAGTTTTTATCAAGTTCAGTAATTTCACTTAAATGATGGCAATGAAGATTACCTATTAATTGTCATTTAAGTGAAATTACTGAAATTATACACTCTAAAAAATGCTGGGTTGTTTTAACCCAACTTTGGGTCAAATATGGACTAACCCAGCCGTTGGGTTAAATTTTTACATTACATTTTTAACCCAACATTTGGGGTTTGTCCATATTTGACCCAAAATTGGGTTAAAACAACCCAGCATTTTTTAGAGTGTATACAAGCTTGATAAAAATGGTCATTTTAGAAGAAAATTTCAAATGGCATTTAGAGGCTTTTGCATCTGAACTCTTCAAATATATATATATCATGACCATGAATTAAGAATTCACTCCCCTAACCCTAACCGGAAACCTTTTTTCAGATTTGTCTTGTTTTAGTAAGATCATGGTCACAAATTAACAATTTGTTCCTTTGTTTTATTAAATTGTGACCCCTCTGTATTAATGTGTCCTCTTATTTAAGGGAACGAATTGTTACAACGTGGCCACCACGATTTGTCTAAAATGAAGAAATTAATTCTTAATTGGTTGACCATATATCAGCTGAGGGAGTTATTTTGTTTTCTAGTGAATATAATGTAAGTAAAACTGTTAATATTTTAAATTATGCTTTCGGTAACACTTTATTTTGATGGTCCACTTTAGAAATTCTATTAACTATAAGTAACTTTGCAAATACATGTCAATTAGCCGTCATTAGAGTTTTAGTAGACTGTCTGCTTAATATCTGAACTTTTTATTTTGATGCTGAACAACAGATATTTTACTGACTATAAGTAACTTTGCAAATACATGTCAGCTTACTCTACTAACCCCAACAGTCTACTAATAGTATAATGAGAATTAGGTGACGCAGTGAGTACGTCTAAAGTGGACTATCGAAATAAAGTGTAACCATGCATTTTTCCTTGAGATGGAGGACATTTTGACCCCATTTACACCTGGTATTAAAATGCGATCTGTATCCAGATAAGTTATCCGGGTAATAAAAAACACATGTTAATGCAAGGTGTAAATGCGTTGTGATCGGATCGTGATCGGATCTGCCTGACCACATCTGGAGGTGGTCTGGCTCGCATTGTGTTCGGATCTTTACGAGGTGTAAACGCAATCTGGTTGTTGAAACCACATTTGTATATTTTACTCCTCCCAAAAATGCTAAAAAATAAACGAGTGAGAGCATGTTATATAGGCTATATGTCATGTTATAGTCAGATATGACGGCACTACTGCGACACGCATCACCGCAGATGAGCAGCTGAGCGTCTATTCATCAAACCAACGTGCAAACATCGCAAATAAAAGTGAAAGTAAGTCACAGACGCTTAACACACAATCATCTTCAAGTAAAGAAACGAAAGGGCTGTTGCCACTCTCTCTTATTGATGTCTTTGATTTGGAAATTAGCTGATGATCAATAAAATGCAGCTCATCTGTTGCTTTTGGTGGCGTGCAATCCATTAAATCTGCATATAACGCGGGAGTTTATAAAACTTATTTGCAAAAACACATTTATGTGGCCAGGTGTGAATGGAATCGGTAAGATCAGAACACTTATTATCCGGATAACTTATCTGGATACAGATCTCATTTTAATACCAGGTGTAAATGGGGTCTTTGATTCGGACTTGACTTGAACGCAGCATGTGTCCTGTGCATTAATATACATTATACCATGGTGTGGGTGAATACTCGATTCTGATTGGCTGCAGGGTGTCCATTAAAAAGAAATAGAGGACACCTAAAGGAGTTCTGCCGTGAGTAACACGCAACAGGCAGTCAAAGAACCTGTTTACAATTTATTGTATCAAAACAAACATCTAGTTAGCCGTTATACTATGCTGTGTGTTTTAATTATAGGGGAAAAAAAAAACGAAAGTGTAACGCCCATGGCTAGACAAGCCTAACATTTTAAACTTTCTGGCTCGTAAGTTAGCTAAACTGGGGTGCGGTTCCCGTACAACGACGTAGTTCGCTGCATCACTACCGTAGTACGATGCATCGTTGGAGAAATCAACTAGCTAGTCACGACTGTTTCCCGAAACCCCTCAGTTATTTTGCTTCATTACCACACTCAATATTTGGCTCGTTCTTACATAGTAGAGCACGTTCGCACATAAACCGTCAGGCGTAACCAAGGAAACCAAGTTTTGTTTGTATAACGAATCAAAATATAAACTAATGCATGTGACCATGGTATAAGCGCATTGTGTAGGTATTAATGGACACCTCGTCAGGCATTAACACTTACGTAGAATATGGACACTTACCCTGAGTTTCTGGAGTTGGACGTCTTGTTTTTCTATCATAGTGAGGAAGCTTTTGAAGTGATTATGGTCGAGGAGAATGTAGACAGGAACACCCCTGACTGAGGCATCCACCACTTCTTTAAAGATGTCCACGTCGGTGAAAACATCCATTGCGATTGCTATGACCTGTGTAGATATAAAAAAGGAAAACATAATAGCAATTACACACAGAGCTGAAGGAAACAGAGTGTTTTTACAACGGCACCCTTCGTTTCTCTGCGTAGTCAAACAAATCTAGGTCGATTTCAATAACTTGAGAGGTGGCTTTCATGAACCTGACAGGGGGTTCGCGTTTGCTTGGGCACTGTGCCTAATATTAAACAGTAAGAAGTCCGGGGAGAAGACTATTGGCTTTGTTTTATTAAACGATTTAGACATTTGTGTTTCAGGAAGACCAGCATTCCAGGATTCAAGCCTTGACAGGTTGAAGACGTTCTGTTAAAGCTAAAGGCCAGCGAGTCTTATAAGCTGTATCTCACCACACCCTAGAACAAATGATTAAATTGAGAATTTACATAGAATTTGATAAGACTGGATATAACGTCATACAATACATAATCTTGATTTACAGTTTTGCATTTCAAAGAAAGCATTAGTTAGCATCAACTGTAGGCTGTTTGGGGGAATCTCGCAATAACATGTTGACTTCAGTTGACTGAAGATGAGGATAGTCTCCCAGACAGCAAACTGACATTGAATCAACGTGGAAACGACGTCTCTCATGACATCAAAACAACGTTGATTTTGCTCATCGAATTAACGTTGAACCAACGTCAGACGCGGCATTCTTCAAAGCTAAATGAAAATCGAAAATTGGTTTGCTTTCATAACGTTGAAACAACGTTGATTTCAAGTTGATTTTCCGTTAGTTTTGAAAGAATGACGCGTCTGGCGTTGGTTCAACGTTAGCAAAACAATGTCAGATCAACGTTGTTTCGATGTCATGTTTCCACGTTGATTCAATGTCAGTTTGCTCTCTGGGCTTTATTTACAAAAATAAAGAGCATAATCCAACACGGAGATAATCCAAACAAATGAAGGCAATGGGCCCTATTTTAACGATCTGAAACGAAGGTATCAATCTCGAATATCTATGTGGGCGGATCTCGGTGCTGTTGCTATTTAACCAGCGGGATAAATGACTCTTGCACCCGACGCAAGTTTAAAAGGGGTTGGTCTGAAATAGCTTCATTATTCATAGGTGTGGTTTGGCCGTAACGGAAACAAACCAATAAGAGCGTCATATCACATTCCCTTTAAGAGCGTGATGAACGAGGCGCGCTTGTTACAGGGCGTAATACTATTTTAGCGGCGCACTTACGAGGCGTGTTTCAGAATCGGTTCCCAGCCGAGGAGATCGATGTTCTCGTCAGGGCCGTAAAAGAAAGAGAAGTGACATTGGGGATGGGACAAACCCACCCAAATTAGCTTCAGTTAAACATGCATATTATAATTTGGGTAAACGTGTAAGCTTTATGCCTATTTTTCCCATCGTCATGGACACAACAATGATTTCCCTCGTGTTTAAATAGATTTCCTTATAATAATGTATAATTTGCAAAAATTAAAATGCATCTGTGTAGATGAGAGAATCATCTACAGTGTATGCGCGTTGTTCACACTCTGTATTATCCAATCATGCGCTTAAATAGCATCTGAATGCACGCGCAACGCGCCACTGACTTTAGACTGTTTTTTGTTTTTTTTTGGTCAGTGGCGCAATTGTTTTCTGGAACTGCAAAACAGCACCAGGGATTGTTTGCGCTGAAACACGCCTCCTTTTTGCGCCAACCCGCCCAGGCAGCCCATTCTCATCCCAAGACGTCATCTGACGCTTTTGACCATATGCCAACATCCAACGTTTTAGGGCACCCTGTAACGTCAGTTAGATGACGCTATCTAATCCTAACCCCACCCCAGACCTAAACCAACCCACGTCATCTAAAGGCCAATTTATACTTCTGCGTCGAGGGTACGCCGTAGTGTACGGCGTTGGCTACGCACATAGGCGACGCCGTTGTGAGCATTTATACTTCTGCGTTCAGGTCTTGGTTGCTCTGCAGTACTGCTCCGAAACACTAGTTGGCGGCGGAGGGTTTTAATGTTCCACTGTTTAGATTCCTCGCGGCTAGGTTACTACAAGCAATAGCGACTGAAAGAGAGCGGATCATGTTGGAGTTGGAGCTTATTGAGGTGGAAAAACAGTTAATTTTAGTGAAATTACTAAATGAGAGAAGACGTCGGAGGAGATGGTACGTGCGGAAATGCGTAGGAGGAAATACGATGCTACCAAGCCGACCAATCACCGATCTTGCGGTCCGTGTCGTCGCGACGTGTAGTTACATTTTTGAGGAGGTGCGCGTCAGGCTACGGCGAAGGGTACGCGATATGGGACGCGTCTGTGCGTATGCTACGCCGTACCTACTGCGCGCACCCTACGCAGAAGTATAAATTGGCCTTAACTGACGCTAAAGGTAAAGCGTCAGTTAGATGACGCCATAGGATAGCATCATCTAACGTGTCGTAAAACGTCGGATGTTGACGTGTGGTCAAAAGCGTCAGTTAGATGACGTCTTGGGAACGAGAATGTGTTGGCCCAGGGAGCGCAAGTTCATTCCCTTGTCAGTCCCTCCAGAAAAACGCGATTATGCGATCGCTGAATTCAATGCAAAATCAGCCAAAGTCCGCATATTTATGCGGGGGCCGCATTTTTTCAAATACGCCGCACTTTCGCCGCATAAATTGCAGATTTCCGTGCAAAATATGTGGGGTTTGCATAATTTCATAATCCTCGCATTTTCGTTGCAAAAAAAGTCACATGTGTCTTAGCAGAAAGTTGAAAAATGTTGCGTTTGCTTCACACAAGAGCAGCCATTTCCCCTTGTTTCCATGGGAACGTTATGAAGTGACGCAATTACGCGACGCCAGACAGACTCACGGAGGCGATTGACATCTCACAAATCGAACTCGTATAACTGTCTGTCACACGTTCTACCGTCACATCGTTACTTAATAAACAACATAAGATAAAAGAAGTAGCATCAAACAGAAATTACCCGCACACATGGGCTGTTCGAGGCGCACATACAACACTGCAGAGAGTTCAACAGGAGCGCGCAGCTCTTAAAGGGGCCACACCTTATTTACACTCGTTACAGTCTGAAATTAAACAAGATGAGAAATTAAACATTCCCAGCACTTTCTATGATGTAGTATGCTTGCTTATCAAAGGAAGTAATAAGAAATGACTCTTACAATAGCCTAGTGAGAACAGGGTGTTGGGGGAATCACTTTTTTTCTCTTTTTCATCAAACCGCAATTTTTGCAAGTTCCCTCAATTTTTGCAAATTCCTGCAATTTCATCGCATAAAAATACCACATATTCCATCGCATTTTTAAAGAAAACGGGCCACGTAATCAATTTTTGGCCGCAAAAAAAAAAAAAAAACTATATATATATGGTAAATGCTATATATAAATCTCAAATTTTTTCACAAATTTTTGGAAATTACCACCACAAAATCAGTCATTTTGATCGCAAAAATCACACAAAAAAATCGTGAAATCCTGGAGGGACTGCCTTGTTTACCGACGTGCGTCTTTGCGCGTGTGCAAAATAGGCACGATAAATGCGTCAGTGTACAAAGTCATTTGAATCGGCCTCGACTAGTCCTGGTCTTGGACTCGACAAAGGTGAACTTGACTACAGCCCTGGGTTTACGTAACACTAACATGAAATCAGACTTTATTCGCCCCAATGTAAAGCGTATTCACACTTTAGAATTGTTCCCTATCCCCTATATAGTGCACTATGTGATATTCACCATGTTAAAAAATACTAAATGTGTGAACAAGTGACAGATTTCCTTTTTTTCATCTTTATTTAATAAGAAATATAATTTACAGACCAAAATCTACAGAAACTCTACATGCTTACACTCTAAAAAATGCTGGGTTGTTTTAACCCAACTTTGGGTCAAATATGGACTAACCCAGCCGTTGGGTTAAATTTTTACATTACATTTTTAACCCAACATTTCGGGTTTGTCCATATTTGACCCAAAATTGGGTTAAAACAACCCAGCATTTTTTAGAGTGTATACAGTCATGCTCACATTCAATAAGTGACCGATTTTAGCCACAGTTTCAGCATCTGTTTAATACAGGGGGCGGTACTGTATTTCAGGCTGTGTAATGCACTTATAATGGTTCTAAATCACCCCAGAGGCCTGTTTGCCCAATTAATGTCCAGTAACTGTGGAGTGGAGTAAATAAGCCAGAGTCACAGGCAGCTCGCTCACTCGTAACATTGTGTTAATGGTACATGTACTATTTAAATGACCATAACTTGCTCAATTTTCTACCGGTTTGTTTTAGAATTGCGAACGGCTGGAATCAATCACGGCCGATCAATCAACCTATCCAACGGATATCCTGTTTCCTTAAACATCACAATAACCCATGTGTTTTTCTACATTTTCATTTATGGCTCATACATGCTTATTCAAAGCGTCTCCTCCCATCCTTCCAATTTACTTCAGAGGCAAAAGGCATCATTACTGTCAGCCACAATCAAAGCTATAATTTGTTTACTGCTTTTAATCTGAAGTAACGTGAACAAAACACAGCACTTGTAAATAAAAGTACACGTGTATTATGGCAATTAGGGCGAAATAGGAAACTTCCAAGAAAATGCCCCTTCTCAAACCTGTTGGCACTCTTTAAAGCACAAATACATTTACTGATGTGCTGATATCTGCTTTAATTGAATCTTGGCTATATCAATCGATATCATTTGGCACACTAGATGAGAACACACCCTGAGAATGTATACTGTATACATCTGTCGAGAGTTTCATTACTCCAGAGAATACATGTAATCAGAGCGCCAGGACCACACGAGGCAGTTTAATCGACACGCTGAAATTGGTTTAATAAATCTATGTCTCCCAAGAGATCGGCTATGTCACCTGTTGGGTCTGGCTCAGCACTGGGAACAATAATTTATTGAGAAGTGATACATAATATGCTAAGATTTTTGAGACCATTTCATTTAGTCATCTAGAGTCTCGATTATTTAATTGGTGGAAAATCATTTAATGCATGCGGCGAGCAGGACGAGGTCG